GGGGGGGGGGGGGGGGGGGGGGTATCTGAATATGTGAAGTGTTGGATTTGTGAACATCTGTAGAATAAAACTGTGTAACCAGTCCCTGCCCAGCCATAGTATCTTACCATAAAATTACTTTGGTAAAAGTTCAAGTCTCCTCTAAAAATATTACTTGAGTAAAAGTCTTAAAGTATCTAATATATTTTGTACTTAAGTATCAAAAGTAAATTTCTGACAAAAAATGTACTTAAGTATTAAAAGTAAAAGTACTGAGTAAAAATTAGTGGCTAGACTTCCCAAAATGATATTTATTGGGAGTTGAGACCCTCAAAAACGTTTTTCTAAAGGTCAAAATGGCTTTATTGTCATATAAAAATGTTAAAGAAAAATCAGGATGCACTACACCTGTTACATACAGMATATCTGCTGTGTTCTGCTGCAGTGTGACATAATGTGTGTTATTTGCAGCTGTGATGGGTTGTGTACAAACTAATACAGGATCAGAATGATATATATTTATACTTTTCATCCAACCACAATTAAACTCAATCTGTCCAGGAGGTTAATATTTTAACAACAAGCTGTAARGAAATATGAGTAACGACTTTCCACTTCTTACCTTTTTAAAAAGAAAAAAATATAATAAGTAGAAAGTACAGATAACTGTGTAAAAATGCAAGTAGAAGTAAAAAGTATAGGCTGAAAAATAATTACTCAAGTACAGATACCAAAAAATTATACTTAAGTACAGTAAAGAAGTATTTGTACTTGGTTACTTTACGACTCTGCAGAGGAGAGATTTTAAAGAATATTTGATAAAAACAAATGTTTCTGCTCTTTCTTTGGTCGATTTCATTTTCTTGCTTTTACTTTGAAACAGACTCAATTTTATTGTGAAACTCTTAGACCGGAAGCAGCTGCTTGTGTTTCCAGTAACTTACCGTGCATGCCAGAGTCCAGACTGCGCTGCTGGACGTGTTGGGTCCGGATCATGYAGCGGGTCTCTCAGCCAGTCTGACCTCCAGCTGCCCCGCGGAGCTCCAGCATGCTGCAGCCGAGAAACGAGTCCTCCTGCCGGGCTGAGCTGCCGGGGACCAACGGCTCGGTGAGCGGTGGACCCGGACCGGAGGCGGTGGTGGTCCCGGTGGTGTTCGGGCTGATCTTCGTGGTGGGGATGGTGGGGAACTCTCTGGTGATGGTGGTCGTCGGGAGGGTGAGGTCCAGCAGCGGGGCGCGCGCCCTCAGCCCCACCAACATCTTCATCATGAACCTGAGCGTGGCGGACCTCCTCTTCCTCCTGTTCTGCGTGCCGCTGCACGCGACCATCTACTCCCTGCCCGAGTGGGTGTTCGGGGCCTTCCTCTGCAGGTTCGGACACTTCTTCTCCACCGTCAGCATGCTGGTCAGCATCTTCACGCTCGTGGCCATGTCCGTGGACCGGTACATCGCCGTGGTGCGCTCCAAGAGTTCCGCGTGCGTGCGGAGCCGCAGGAACGCGCTGACCGGGCTGTGCGTCATCTGGACCCTGTCTCTGCTGTTGTCGGTACCGGTGGCGCAGCACCAGGTCCTGGTCAGTCACCCCAGAGCCCCGAACAGCACCTTCTGCTGGGAGAACTGGTCCGGCTCGCCGCGGCTCGCCTACAAGGTGTCGGTTCTGCTGCTGGGGTTCGTGGTCCCGCTGCTGCTCATCTGCTGCTGCTACACCAGGGTCAGTTCCAGGTCCAGGTCCAGGTCCAGGTCCAGGTCCAGAGTCCCGCTGCAGTAAAACACGACATAATGACAGAGCAGGGGCCAAAGGCCGCGCGCAAAGTCCTCAGTCATAAAGAGCCGTGCGTAAAAGCGCGCAGGAGCAGAGCGCGCCACGTGCGCGCCACGTGCGCGCGCCAACAGGTGGAGAAAGACATCAGCAGGAGAAAGTGTCCTGAAGGTTCTGGTCCTGAAGGTTCTGGTCCTGAAGGTTCTGGTCCTGAAGGTTCTGGTCCTGATGGTTCTGGTCCTGAAGGTTCTGGTCCTGAAGGTTCTGGTCCTGAAGGTTCTGGTCCTGATGGTTCTGGTCCAGCCTGCCTTTTCTCTAAACCGAACTCAGTTTCAGTTTATTTCTCATCTCAGCTGTTAAACCATAAATCTGACAGAATCTGATGTTTAAACTGCAGAAGAAAAGTTTATAAAAGTTTTACTAAGTTTAGACAAATCAGAGTTAAACTGTGACGTCATCACATTCTACATTAAACATTCMGATGTAAACTCTTTCAGTCCCAGGATTGTGTGTGGAGACAGTTACAGTTTACAGTAGGTTGGTCTGTTTTCACAGGGGCACCACCAAGGGTGGGGGAGGCATTTACCCCCCCCCCCCCCC